ACAGCAAGTTATGGTATACCTATCTCCCCTTTTAACTATGAGCACCCCTAAGGCCTGAATCAACGCTGTGGTTCAGAGAGCAGACCTGCCCTGGTGGGGTGAGGTGGGGTGAGGTGGGGTGTGGTAGGGAATTTGGACTCGGGTAAACTGCTCTTCCCACAGGCCAGGCTGGGAGCCAGGGGCCAGGCCAGGGATGGGGCTCCTGGTGGAAAGAATGGGTCCTGCCTAATCTGCAAGAGCAAGGATCAGCCCTCCACCAGCTCCCCAGGCTGGCTGACGGGAGGATAAGACCAGGAGAAGGGTGGGGAGGGAGGAGGCATGAGATGCGCCCTGAGAGCCTGCCCCCAGCCCAGGCCCCTCAGGGAGAACCCACCTTGCTGGTCCTGCAACACATACCATTCCCAGCCTCTGCATTCATTGTCTCTTTTTCAAAGTGCTGGGTTTGAGTTTGGCTGCAGCACCCGCTGTGTGACCTTGGGCTGGTCTCAGCCTCTCTCTGAACCGTGCCTGCTGCAGTGGGTTTCTCTGACATCCAGAAAGAAGGTGTCTGTGAGAGACTGGGGCAGAACGGCTTGCTGCCCCTCAGATGCTGAGACTCAGCCTGGGACTGCGGAGGGCGAGCCTGCCATCTGTGGAAGCATCTCTGAGGGGCTAGACACCCTTGTTGGGTGCTTTCTAGGGGCGGATGGGGGGGTGAGTGGAGACTTTGTGTCAGGGGGCCTGGGTTCACAAGCTGACCTCTGTGGTACTGTCGTTGACCCTTCCACGTATTTTCTCACTGAATCTTGGCCATGAGCTTCTGAGGAAATGCTAGGCACAGAGAAAGCCATTCATTCTTTCATTCAGTCACGTGTTCAGCCAACGGTTACAAGTCTGACACCGGTACTGGGAGTTCAGCAAGAATAGGGTCATCTGCTCCATACACACGGGTCTGAAGCCCAGCCGGTCACTGCACGTTGGGCATCAGCAGTAAACAAGGGCCCCACGGAGCACACAGTCTAGAAGGGAGAGACAGAGATCCCATGAATGAGAGAGACCATTCAGAGATAGGGAAGATCTCACGGGGTGCCGAAATGAGAAACACGGTCTGTCAGAGAGAGGTGGGCCAGGTAAGGCGCCTGTGAATGCTGAAGGGCAGAAGGCGCTGCAGGGCAACGATCTGTGGGAGAGTGAATGAGGTGGCCTCAAGCTGGAGCCGACTGTGTGGAACCGACCCGAGGAACGCTTTTTATGGGTCAGCTGTTATTATCATTTTTATTATCGGGGGTACCGTCTCCCCCATTTCCCAGCTCTTTACTTCTGAGTTCCCTCTTTGTACACATAGAGGTTGCGGGCAGTGGGGGGGGGCGGGTAGAGGCGCGGCTGGCCGCGCCCTGTCGAAGCCAGCCGAACGAGGGCGCCCCAAACAAGTTCTGCGCTTCCCCGCCCTGGCTCCGCTGAGGGGGAGGGGCGGCCAGGCCAGGCCAGACTGCGAGAACTACATTTCCCACAATTCCGTTCCCCGCCGCCATTTTGGTCGGGGGGCGGTGGCAGCCTAGGGTTTAGCCCTTCGGGCCGTTGAGCCGTTCCGCTCGCTCCTACCCTGGGCCTCCACCGTGGGGGTTGCGTGTCCTCGCCGAGTAGGGCGTCCGGGGACCTGGGCAGCTCTTGTCCCCTTTCTCCACCCCTCCACCCTTGGGAGCCTGGTCCACGTGTCGGTCTACGCGGAGGAGGCTGCTTGCCCTCCTCTGGCCAAGGACCGTTGGACCCAGACCTCAGGGGCTCCCAAGTCTCCTCTCCAGACCCTCGCCCTGCACATACTGCCCACTCCCCTCGGTTCCCAGATGACCCCTGTTTTTGCATCAGTGAGGAAAGAACACTAGGATCCCGGCAGGAGCCCAAATCCCGGTACTGGGCGCCTAGAACGCCAGGGTTGAGGCAGAAAGCTTAAAAGGGGTATCAAACAGCCAGGCCCAAACCCCTGACGACTAGACCCTCCCCTATCCCCTGCCCGGGGGCGGGGTGGGAGTGAGGGGCCTGCGGAGGGACTGGCCCTTTAAGGGGGTGTGGTCGGGGGGCGGGGGAAGCAAGCGAGACAGAGAAAGCGGCTTCGGCGGCGGCGGCGGCGGCGGCGGCGGCTCGGGCGGCGGCCGCGGGGGACAAAGGGCGGGCGGATCGGCGGGGAGGGGGCGGGGCGCGGCCAGGCCAGGCCCGGGGGCTCCGCATGCTGCAGCTGCCCCCGGGCGCCCCCGCCGCCGCCCTCGCCGCGGAGCCGCGCGGAGCCGAGCCCGCGAGCTAACCCGAGCCAGCGGCCCGGAGCCAGCCGGCGGGCGTCCCGGAGGCGGCGGCGCAGGGAGGGGCCCGACGCGCGCACGTGGCCCCGGCGGCCGCCATGGCGGACAGCGGCCCCGCGGGGGGCGCGGCGTTGGCGGCCCCGGCCCCTGGGCCCGGTAGTGGTGGCCCAGGGCCCCGCGTCTACTTTCAGAGCCCCCCTGGGGCTGCAGGCGAGGGCCCGGGCGGCGCGGACGACGAGGGCCCAGTGAGGCGCCAAGGGAAGGTCACGGTCAAGTACGACCGCAAGGAGCTACGGAAGCGCCTCAACCTAGAGGAGTGGATCCTGGAGCAGCTCACTCGCCTCTACGACTGCCAGGTGTGTCCCCTACTCTGCGCCGACACCCTAAAATCGTGCCCTAGTCGGGCTGCTTGGGAACCCCACCTTGCGCCTGCCTGTCACCCGGAGTCAGTGGGCGCTCCGCTTCCGCGCGCTCCCCTCCCTTTCTATACTCCCCGCCCCCAGTGTGTGCTCTTTCTTGTCTGACCTTAAGTCACTCCTGCCTTCTCTCTCGTGACGCCCTCATGTCACTACCCTGGTCAAGCTTCGGGTCTTCTAGAAGCCTCAAGGGATAGCCTGGGCCATGGGAAGGAGGCAGGAGGCTAGCCTGGGCTGGCAGTGGAAGGAGTTCTACCTGGTGCCTCTAACCTAAACTGGTTAAAAGGTGCAAGTCTGGTGGGATTGTAAAGGGTCTGGGCTGTTCTAATGGGCCAGCCTGCAGCTCCATTTTGGTGTAGGGGCAGACTAGCTGTCCCCTGGGTTCTGGTTCTCCACCCCATGACTCCTTCCTTGCTCAAATGGTGACTCAGGCCCCGGGGGGCAGGGTGGAGGAGTGGGCTTGCCCTGTGCTGCCTACCCTAGACCAGCCCTGGAATGCAGCTGGCTCCAGACTGGATAGACGCTTCCTGGGGAGAGGGGGGGGGAGTGGTGGCGGGCACCCCCTCCCTCAGCAAAGCATAGGCTCTTTGTTTCCCCCTTACCAGGCCTGGGTCCTTCCCACTGACCCCTCACCCTTTACTTCCTCCCCACTCCTGGGAAGCTGTGACAGGTGTTTGGGGGAGGGGGAGGGGCTGTGAGGAGTTGAGACAGCTGGCCCCACCTGTGCGCTAACTGGGGGCGGGGCGGGAAGCTGGGGCAACACATCTGTAGGGTTCTCAGCCCAGGGTCCCCCAGCCCTAGCTGTCTGGCCCTGTCTGGCACCCACGGTGCCCAACTGGCAGGGACAGGAAGCTCCCCCCCTCATTGGGCATTTTGCCTTGGCACAGGCCTGATCTGTTTTCTTCCTCGGACAGCTGCCGCTGTCTGCTGGGCGAGGAAGGCTGGCTCATCCTGCGGTAGGGCAGGGGCCTCAGCCAGAGCCCCTCTCACACCCTCTCTCCCAACTCAGGCCCTTGTCTCTCCCTCCTCCCCCACCCCCACCCCAGGAAGAGGAGATCCCGGAGTTGGAGATTGATGTGGACGAACTCCTGGACATGGAAAGTGATGATACCCGGGCTGCCAGGGTCAAGGTGAGAGAGGGGCTGGGAGACAGCAGGGCCAGGTAGGGGGATCAGGGAGGAGAGGGCTGGAGGCACTACCCCTTGGGTAAGCGAGGCTCTGGATTTAGGCCTTCTTTGGTTTTAGTCATTCAAGTCTGTGATGGTGAGCCTCGGCTTCCGCCTCCATCAAATGGGGCTAATGGTGCTTGCCTAGCTGTTGAGTGGCTGTGGCCTAGCCTGCGCCTTGGGGTGGCCCCAGGCCCTTGGAAGTGGGTACAGGTGAACTCTAAGTCCCTGTTCCATAGAACTCACAGCCATACTTACCCCCCCCCCCCCCGCCCCCAGGAGCTGCTGGTTGACTGTTACAAACCCACTGAGGTAAGCAAGTGGTTTCCCCAGAGGCTGGTGTGAGAGGAGCCTGGGTGTCTGTCATCTTGGAGTCTGGTTTCCCTAACATCCTCCCTTCTGTTCAGGCCTTCATCTCTGGCCTGCTGGACAAGATCCGGGGCATGCAGAAGCTGAGCACACCCCAGAAGAAGTAAGGGTCCTGGACCCAGGTGAACGGTGGCTCCCACAGGACAATCGCTGCCCCCCGACCTCGTAGCAACAGCAATACCGGGGGGGCCCTGCGGCCAGGCCTGGTGCCATGAGCAGGGCTCCCCGTGCCCCTGGCCCAGGGGCCTCTTCCCTGCCCCCTCAGTTTTCCATTTTTGGGGTTTTTTATTGTTATTAAACTGATGGGACTTTTTGTGTTTTTATATTGACTCTGCGGCGCGGCCCTTTAATAAAGCTAGGATATGCCTTTGGTGCAGCTCACAGGTTCAGCTGGTCTCTTTTAGGGGGGACACACTGCTCTAGAACTGCCGTCAGCTCAGCTTCTTCCCAGGTGAGCGCAGGCCTTCCTGAGGGCCATGTAGCCATGGCGATAGCCCAGTGCTGGCTCCCAGACCAAGAGCTGGAAGTGGCTGGGGGGCTGGGGGAAGTGGTGTTGCTGCTGGCAGGCCAGGGGCCACCATGCTACCTAGGACCTGGCCATCATGATCCCCATGTCACTGAGCCCACGCCCAAGGCCCTCTGCAGCCGAGAAAGAAGAGGGGTGGGTGCTGCCAAGGGAGAGCATATACCGCCTGAAGCTGTGGGTTCTAAGTCTCTTGGGGCCCACAAACACACACAGGCTCACTTCATGGGCTTTAAGGGGTCTTTTTGTTTGTTTTTTGTTTTTTTTAAACAGTCTGGTCCCTGATGGGGGCCTCTCCGCTGCCCCTCCCCAGTTTCGCTACAGTTCTGAACGTCGCTCAATTTTGAGCAGCTCCACCTCAAACACGAGGGTTGCACCACCTGCAGGGGAAAAGGGGACAGAATGAGAACCAGGACGACAGGGAGATGAGATGGGGGCAGGACCTGGGGGGCGGGCAGGAAGGTGTATTACCTGGAATCTTTGGGGGAGCTCCCCGCTCTCCGTACCCTGTCAAAAGATGCACAAAGAAATAGTGAACTATAGCCAGGCAAAGGGAGAGTGTGCTGCAGACATCCAGGCTGCCCATCTCAACAAGAAAGCCGGAAATGAAGTAGGTGTAATGGAGACGGCAAGGGGCTACAAAAGGTCTGGCAGAGGGCAGAGGGTGGGCACCAGAATCAAGTGTCCCAGGGGTCTTGCCCTGTTCTCACTGCTGGACTTAGCTAGACTTGGAAGAGGCATGTGCTATATAATGAATGGACGGGGTGGAGACCAATGCAGAGGCTGAACCAGCCTTCATCCTTCCCCAGACACACACCCAAACTCCCCTCTCCAGGCTTAGGAAGGGCCTCTTACCCAACTCTGATGGGATCACCAGCTTCCGTTTTTCTCCTTCACACATCCTGCAGGACAACACATGTTCAGCACATGGCAAGCACCCAGGCTCCCCTGCCCCCCACCCCATCCCTGGGGCTTGCCTCCCACAGTCCACCTCCTCAACCACAGCCACGGCCCCCTGACTCACCCCAGCAGCCCCTGGTCCCAGCCCTTGATGACCTGGCCTGTGCCCAGGGAGAAGACAAAGGGCTGGTTCTGGGGCAGGCTGCTGTCAAATTCCGTCCCATCTTCCAGCTTCCCCTGTGGGACCATGGGAAGGCCAGTGAAGAGGAGGGTCCACTCTGACACACCTCCCCACCCAGCTGCTCTCCCCAAGCTGGCTCCCCATTGGCAGCCATAGCCCTAGAACGGGACAGAGCCTTGGGCAGCTCATAGGACTTTGTCACTGCTTGCTGGTGCCAACCTGGGGATCAGGCAGTGAACAGCAGGATAGAACTATGGAAACTAGTATAAAAGGGAGAGGGGACTTGCCCAAGGTCACCCACCTTGTAGGCTGAGGGATCGCACTTCCAAGTCCTCTCAGGTCCCCAGAAGCCCCACCCACCCCAAATGCTCCACTCCCTCACCCACCGTGTAGTGCATGTGCAGGACGTCTCCCTTGCGCGATTTGATGGGGCAGTGGTCTACCCGCTTCTTGACCCCGATCTGCAGCTTCCGTTTGCCCTCGGCCCCCGCAGCAGTGGCCAGGGCGCTCAGGCAGATGGACAGTACTGTCAGGACCCAGCTCAGCCTCATGTCTCTGCGGAGACAGACCCCAACCGACCGGGGGGGGGGGGGGGGGGAAGGGGGTAGGGCGGGGAAGGCATGGAATAGGGGCAGGTACCAGGAGAATTCCACCCCCACCGTACCTTGCCTGCCCCTAGGGATCCCCTTGTCCCGGGTCACCGCCCCCTCCCCCGGGCTCCGCGGCCACACTTACCAGTCCAGTGAGAAGGGGGCTTGCCCGAGGACCCCAGCAGCGGGGGGAGGGGATCAGGGGAGGCCACAGCAGCCAGGGCCCCGCCCCTTTGCTCACCCCCTGCCCTTCCTTCCCTCCCGGTCCCCAGCTCCAGTCTTCAATTCCCACCCGTCCCTTTACGCAAAGTCCAGACCCTATCTGGTTGCCCAGCAGTTGCCTCGACCGGGCGACCCCATTCACGCCACACCCAGTTGCCCCCCGCCCAGCACACCCACACTTCTGCGGCCGCTGCAGGGGGCCTGCCCCGAGGGACCCATACATCGCCGCTGGGTGGCTCCGGGGAACCCCGATCCTCCGGAGGCACCCCCCAGGCCGGGCCTGTGCCTCCGCCCGGGGCGCCGCCCCAGCTCTGAGCCCTCGGGGGCCTGCGGGGTACCCAGACTGGCCCCGTGTCGGGTGGCCGCCGAGCCCGCTCCACCCATACCACCTCTCCTGGGGGAGTTCTCGGCCTACGGCGTCCCCAGGCCCGGCCCCCGCGGAGACCGCCCCCGCGTGGACGCCCCGGGCCATTACCTGGGCCTACCCCTTCGCTTGACTCCTTGACCCCACCCTTTAGAGGACGTAGTTCCGCCCCCTGCTCTGGAGCCCCGCCCTCGACAGAACCAGACCCCTCTTCCTTAACGGTAGCCACGCCACTCACCGGCTGAAGGCCCGCCCCCAGCGCCTGGGCTCCGTCCCCTGCGGTCTCCAAACCCGAGGCTCCGCCTTCCGCCTGTTCCAGCTCCTCCTCCAAGGGCCAGGCTCCGCCCCCTATCTGTCCTGGCTCCGCCCCCAGCCCCGGAGCTCCGCCTTCTACTGGAACCAGCTCAGAGGTTCCACCCGTCTCCGTACCACGTCCCGCCCCGACTCCCAGGGCTCCGCCCCGTGCGGCGTGAGAACCCTCCCCCTGCGGCATCCCCAGACAGCTCCGACCCCAACCCCCAATTTCCTCTTAACCTATCCCTCGTTGACACTCGGAGCCCCGGCCCGCTCCTGCCCGGCTTGATCCAGCCTGCCCCCTTGGACCCCGGCTCCCCCCAGCCCGGGCTGTGGCCCCCGCTCACCTCCTCGCCGCGCCCCCGGAGTCAACCTCAGTCGCGCTGCCGCCTCTGCGCAGGCGCGTCATCGTCGCTGCCAGGCCGGGCCACGCCGCCCGCCCTCATTGGACTGTGCGAAACCCGCGGCCACACGCCCGCTGGGGCGGCCTTTCCCCCAGCTCCGCCCCCGCGCCACCACGTGACGACGCGCTACTTCCGGTTGCTGGGTAATCGGTAAGGTTAGGTGAAAGTGACTTCCTAAAGTGCCTTGGGCACTTCCGGTCGAGGTGAAATTAAGGTCAGGCGGACAGGGGTTCCCGGAGGGGGTCTTGAGACGCCATTTTATTTCATCCCCAGGCTCTCCCACAGCGTTCCCGTTTGTCCCTGGGCCTCTTCGGGATCCACAATCTCGTTAGTTGCAGTGGAGAGAGCCTGGGCTTCAGAGTTGCGTTTGAATTTGGGGTCTGCCGTTCATTGACTGGCAGTGTGACCTTGAGCAAGTTCCTGAGCCTGGTAGGCTCTGGAGTCCCTGTACCGCGGGCTTGGCAACACCCACCTGGCAGGGCCACTGTGGGATTGCGGCCATGAGGTGGTCCACCAGGCCCTGGCCCAGAGCTAATGCTCTCCCTTTGCTCCACGCCGGCGTCCAGGCCTGCCTCTACCTGCAGCACACTGACCACTGAGTCATGACGGCAGTGGTCTGGCTGGGCCGGTTCCCCCAACCAGACTGGTATTTTCAGGTGCCCCAGGACCCAGCAGTGCACAGTCAACGTCTCTCAACTGAAGTAATGAACTTGTAGTTGGGAGGCCACGAAACCTAAATTGAGTGTTACAGCCAACCGGGGGTCACATCCCCAGGTCCATCAGCCTTTCTGAGCCTGTTTCCTCAATTGGAAAAGGAAGATAATCACCAGTGCTGACCTTAGAATTGAGGACTAAGCGAGGGGGTGCATATAAAGCACTGCGAGTGTCCAGCACTGAGTGCGCTGGGGAGGGGGCAGCTCTAGGGTCCCCAGCCCTCATCTGTCTCACTTCAGTTGAGCTATGGCGTTTTCAGTGACAGCATAGCTGAGAAAAATGATTTGAAATCGGTAATCACAGGAATTGTCTCTTCTGGTTTAACCCCACTCCTGCCTTGGGCCCAACAAGCTCACTGCCATGCCCTCCAATCTCCCACCTCAGAGGCCTCCATTAGGGTAGCCACTTTGGGTTAACCTCTGCCCCTGAATGTCCTGTCTCAGCAAGGTAAGCATTGGGTCCCCAAGGTTGGCCTTTGGTCTGCCCCTCACTCCCCCCCCCCCCCCCCCACCAGGACACTGGAGGCTGCTGGGCGCAGAGCTTAGGCTGGGTCAGACAAAAGTCAGGAGAGTCCCAAGCAGGGAATGGTGAGGGGAGCCCAAGGTGAAGGGAGGTGAAGGTGGAGAAAACTGTGTGCTTGGGGGTGAGGGGACCTATCTCCCAAACCAAGCCCACCAGCCTTTGGTACTTCCCTTTCAGGGAGGCGGGGATAGGGCAGGGGCGTGCCTTTAGAGTTAAGCTAGAGGAAGTAGCTTACACATAGAGTGCTGCCCACCAGAGAAGATGGGTTTTTCTATCAAGTGAAGATATACTGACTTTCCTGGAGCCCAAGGGCCAGGGCCATAGCACTCATCCATTCCCTCCGTGTACACATGCGGAAGCTGAGGCTCAGAGAGGGGGCAGTGACAACCAAGATCATTCAGCAGATCTGGGTCCCACTTCAAGCTCACTGGCCACAGCAGGCCATCTCCTTCCAGAAAGGAGCCTTTGTGATGAGCAGGGGGGACAGGGCCTGGATGTGACAACAGGACTGTTAAGAATGCACAGTTCCGGCTCTGTCCGTGACCTGGTGGGGGACCTTGGGCCTCGTTTCCTCCACAGGCACAATGAGGGAGTAAGACCAGCTCTGGCTCGAGGAGGCAGTGTGACGCAGAATGCCTGAATCCCCCAGCCAGGACAGTGACAAACAGTGACATAGGCAGGGACAGCTCCTTCCATCTCTTTTATCAGGGTCGGGGGTTCACAGTTCTCACACCGAAGCCCAACTCCCAGTATGTGCGGAGGATCGGTGTCTTCTTAGGGAGGCGATAGAGAAGCCGGCTGTAAGATGCTCACTTGTACATGGTGGGTGAAAACGGAGATGGGACCCCTTCTCTCCCGGGTTAGTCCGCGACCCCTGGGGCTGCCTAACATCTCTTCGTCCAGCTGCCCACCCTGTTGGATGGCGGCCTTGGAGAGACCCGGGACATCTGGGAAGTCCTCTGAGAGGCCCAGGTCCTGGAGCAGCTTCTGCCCACACGGAGATCTTGGGACTGGGCTCTTCTCAACATGTTGCCCTCTTGTCCCCCTCGGGCGGGGGGCGGGGAGCGGCCTGTGAGGCAAGTGGCCCTGCTGAGTCTGAAAAGCAACGTGTCACCTTCGCAGCTTCCGGCACCTGAGGAAGGGAGGAAGGGGTCTGGTCATGTGGGCACGGCTCAGCCCCTGCTCCTCTAGATTCACCCCTTTGTTACCTTCTGTGAACCCCATTCTCTCCTACCACTCCTGGCGAGCCCCAACTGGCCTGGCCCACATGATGCCACCCCATGGCCTCGCTGTGGAAGGGAGGAGGGGCGAGAAGCACCTTGGACAAGGGTGGACAAAGATTCCATGGTGTCCCTTGGCCTCTCACAGAGCCCCCAAAGTGGGTCAGATGTCTCCCACAGGAGCTTTTAGGAAGGCCCAGAGCTTCACAAACTGGAGAGCCGTCTCTCTCATCCTGACGGCAGGCAGATGTTACCTTCGGGGCCTCTGTGACCTCTCAGTTGGGTGCCCCTGACCTCAGCCCTCGACCTCCTCTGCGAGCATCACGTATCCTCAAGCCCGACTCCCACATGAGAATGTGAACCCTGTTTACACTGATCCCGGTGGCTGCCTGGTAAATATTTGTTCGGCACATTCGGCAGCTTCCCCTTCCCTGACAGCCTCACCCCGCACCCGCTCCCGCAGCCCCGAGGCCTTCCCAAACAGATGCCGCCGGCCCGCAGCTCCTCACCGGCAGGTGTCTGGGTTGAGCTCTAGGCCCCGCCCTTGGCAACGGAGGAAGCTGCGGCGTCGGCAGCGACAGCGACAGGTCCTGGGGTCAGGGCGCTGGTGGCGCTGGGTGCAGCGTGGGCAGAGGGGCCTGGGGCTGGAGTGGGATGGGTGATGTCAGCTGGGGAGGGTGCTCCGGGGGCAGGGTCCCAGCCCGGAACGGAGCGGGGCTGGGGGCGGTGGTGGGGAGTGGAAGCCCTAGGAGGAGAAGCAACATGTCTGGGGCGGGAAAGAAAAGTCTTCCCAGGAGCTGGGCTTGGGCCAGAGCGCAGACTCGGGGAGCAGAGGAAAAGGGGACGGGGGACACAGTGGGAGGAGAAAGCAGGGACGGGACTGCAGCTTCCTGACACACTCACACCCCCACCCCCTCCGCCGCATCCGCACATTACATCCTGGCTGCTGGGCCTGGGCTCCAACCCCATCTCAGCAAGAGCCCCAGAGACTCACCTGTCCGGCTTCAGAGCACCCTCTCTCCTTTTTGGTCTGAAAAGTAAGAGAGGCAGACAGGCACAAGGAGGAGCAAGACGATCAGAAAAGCCAAGCCTCCGACTGTCTTACCCCAGATCCCAGGCCTACCCCAGTGCGAGTCTTGGCAATCTGGTCCCCACTGTGGTGTGCCGCCATGCCCGGCGCCGCCCCCCGCCCCCCTGTCCCTGGAGCCTGGTCTCTGTGAGCTCAGAAGCGGGGGTCTGGCTGGCACCTGCATTCACACTGGCTGTGTTCTTCCAGGGACATCTCGCCCAGCTGACTGCTCGGGTAACGGATCATGAGGATCTGTATTCCAGAGTTGGAGGAGAGACAGTGTGAGAGACAATGAGAGAGAGAGAGAGGCGGGGGGGGTGGTGGAATCTCCATGGGCTGGAGGGAGAACCGCTCGCCCACCAGCCAAGGCTCTGGCCACTGCCCCCACGCCCCAAGCCCCACCGCCCCCAGAGCCCCAGCATCCATGCCAGCTGGGCACACCCCACCTGCCCCAGCACCTGCATTCGGACTTGGTGCTGCCCGGTGGGCACGCACTCCAGGCCGTCGTCAGGGCAGCAGCCCCCGCAGCGCTGCACCGTCACGCAGCTGGGCACCAGTTGCTTGGCCACGGTGCCCATGAGCTCCACAGTCAGGGGCACCACCACCTCCCGGGGCTGGCAGGTGGCACGGGTATACACATCTATCCATGACACCACTGGGGGCAGATGCACAAGGGTTAAGTCCCCCCTGGGTTTCCTGTCGCTCCTCCCTGGTTCCCCTGTCCCCCGAAGCTGTTCTCCCTAATTCCTGTGTCGCAGCCACCCCCAACTGGCCGTCTCTCTGCCCTCACAACCTGCCTTCCCTTGCCCAGGAACCCAGGAACCCTACTGCCTCGATTTCCTCTTCTGCGAAATGGGCAGAATAAGAGTTCGAGTCTTGGCGAGTGGCTGGGGTTACACAAGGTGACGGGCAAACCTCCTCAGTGTTGGTTAGCGCAGTTATTGTTACTATTACCTTTCTTCTGGTGGCCGAGGGCATCAGGCTGGGATACAGGGCCCTGTAGGAGAGAAGGGACCTGGACCCAAGGTGCATTCAAGGAAGGGCTCGCCCTGTCGCTGTCCCGGGGGCTCTGCCCTGGCCGTCCAAAGGCTTCAACTCCTCTATGACATTTTTCCAGATTGCTCGGCTCCTGGGGTCACTCTAGTTTTACCTGTTCTCTCCCGGCCACCTCAGACCTGCCCCAGCCACGACAGTGGCGGCATTGGTGGCGTCCAGTCTCCAAGGCTGGGGGCCCGGCTGATTCGGACGCCGCAGGTCAGGAGGGGACACGGTGGGCGCCGAACCAAGTCCTGCGGGCACCGAGCGGCTCCGCCCCCGGCCGAACCCAGGGGACGGGGTGGGGCAGGGGAGTGGCCCGGGGCTCGGCTGGCGGGCTGGCGGGCTGGCGGGCTGGCGGACTATCGGGGAGGGACTCCTCCCGGGGGATGCCCTGGCAGGATCCCCGCCACGCCCCGGTCCGCAGCCCGACCCCGCGGATCCCCGAGGCAGAGGCCGCTCCGCGACTCCCCACTTCCGCCAACCTTGAGAGAGGGCACGGCGGGCGGGCGGGCGGGATGTCGGGGACGCACGTACCTGGGCGGGGGCCAGCTGCAGGAGCGCGGCGAGCAGCAGGCGGCGGAGCAGGGGACTCATGATGCCCGCGGGGGCCGCGCGCCGGGGGCGCCCGCATCGCTCTAGCCCGGTGGCGCGGGGGGCGGCGGCAGCCAGAGCCCCATGGCGCGGGCCCGGGCGCGGCGGGCGGGGGCCGGGCGCGGGGGGCGGC